TTAGGGGGGCCGAATAAAAATATAGAGGGGCTACAGCCATCATTTTCCATGAAGATATTTTGTAAGTTTCCTACTGTATGTTGGACTGAAGCAGTTGATATTCATTTACACTGAGGAAGAGCAGAGGGTTGCTGAAGAACTGCTGAGTGATTATAGCTGCTGTCTGGGCTTTCACTGCACCTTCCTTTCTTCATGTGTTCAATACTTTTTCCCAGCATCAGTTTATTGACTTCATTGTATTATTTATTGACATATAACTTCATTTGTAAACTACTTCAACTTGGTTTCATTGCATATATGGATTTCTTTGGTTGCTACCAACATCTGGCGAAAATCTCAGGTCAACAACACCTTTAGAAATAAGGGTGACGTGTTCAATACTTATTTCCCCCACTGTATTTTGTGCAAAAATTCATGCACGACTTCTGATCAGTTGAAAGCATTCTCACTAGCGCTGTCAAAATTAACGCGTTAACGCATGCGATTAATTTGAAAAAATTAACGCGTTAAAAAAAAATTTACGCATTTTTTATTTTATTTTTTCCTGTTGTGGCCAGGGGCAGACCCGGCAGTTTCCCGCTGTTTCGACGTACTTTTTGGGCCGGGCTGATCATCTGCTTAGGATCTGATCGGCCCATAAAACACTTAGCAGACTGTCATGTTTTTCTGCCTGAGTGATTGACGGTGCTGCGAGCTGTCACGCTCTGAAAGTGAGATGTTTCTTTTCCGGACAAAGCAGCCGTGTGACATAATCTTCAGCCCATTGGTTCTTTTCTTTATTGACATTGGGCTGACCCAATCACAAACTTCCATGTTGGGCTCTGTGTAACGTTGGTGTGTATTTGTCAAAATAGCAGAGTCCCGCCTGTTTCTTACGCGCTGGTTCGCGCCGCGGGAGAGCAGGCGCACTCTGCAGCAGGGCACAGATCAATATACTCCTGTCTATTCTATCTAGTTACCTATCTGTCCATATACGTATACTTTTTTAAACTTTTAATCTGCACCACGGCCGTGGCAAATTCCTATGCTGTTTCCTTAACCTGCAAGTCTTTATTTTACAAATGATAAAGAATGTCCGCTTCTTACGATCTATGAGGGGTCATTCATGTATTTTAAGATGCACTCGTTCAGAAGACAAGCGCATGAGATATCATGACATTGTGTTTTTGATCGTCAGCATGATGTAGGCTTATAGTGACAATAATATTTATACAATATGGATATTATAATGATATTTATACATGACCAAACTAGTGTGCAACTTAAGCAACGTTTTTTTTACATTTAGTTTTGTAGTTCTGCCCAAACAAATATTTGTTGCATTTTTTAATTGTTTAGGTTCATTTGATTGACAATGTAAAAGCTGTTAGCTACGTTTGATGTTTCACTGTTGAGTTAAACATTTTTTTAGGGTCTCTGACACATTGCTTTTATTATTTATCTTTATTTTAATAATCAACATTAACTGTGTGCGTTAGTAGGCGGTTTTTGTCATGTTCATTGTTTATTAGGCCCCCTCAAAACACACAGGCACCCACATTTCCAGTGTGGATTATAATTTTATTTTAATAATAAATAAATAAAAAAAGTAGTTTTTTTAATTTGTCAACTCTCGTTATTTCCTATAAATGGATTTTGTGCTTTTAAAGATTGGGAGTTGGTAAACCTATTCAAGAGCATGCACAGATTTTCAATACTTTATTATTATTATTATAATTTTCCATATCTGCAATTCCTGTATTTTGGCATTTTTTTGCAGTCCTCTTAGAATCCAACATGGAAATCAATGTTTTCTTTATTGGTATTGATTGTTTTGAAATTCAAATGGCTTTAATATGCCTGTGTTTTTATTTCTGTAATAAATATAACTGTCAGGCCAGGATCTTGATGGTTTATTGTGGGTATGTTGTTTACATGAAGAAATCTGTTACAAGTCAAACAAAAATTCTAATAATGAATTATATTTTGAATTTAAACAGTATTTGTCTTGCGTTTACATTAATTTTACACTTGAATAGCCAAAATTACAAGTTTCAGTCTTTTAAATGCAATTAATCGCGATTAATTTTTTTAAAAAAGTGCGATTAATTAGTTAATTTTTTTTAATCGATTGACAGCACTAATTCTCACTGAACAAAAATAGTAAATTCTCACTCCAAACACTTCAGTACATGATGTTCATACTCTATAAATACAGCAAATAGCTGCTCATCCTTTCACACATGCTATTTCCTGTCACCGGCCGGCTTCCTGTTTGCAGAAAAACAGATCCACCTACTCACCCACTTTCTCATTGAGAACCTGCAGGTTTGAGACCCTCTCGTCCTTAAAGAGCTCGATGCCGTAAACGCAGTCGAATCCGTCATATTTGACCATGAAGAGCGAAGAGTTGACGCTGAGCCGGTCCAGAACGGTGCCCTTCCACTTGGTCAGCGCCCCCTTCTCCCTCCAGCTGTGTTGGATCCGGCGGCCCAGCAGGTTGTTAGGATCTGGAGTGAGACTGTCGCTTAGTTCGCCGCTGCTGCGCTTCCTGCAGAGAACAGATAAAGATAAAACATCAGATGCATTGAGGAGGACTGCTTTACTCCTCTAATGTGGATGATTATTATTGGATGGATTATAAATGGCACTGCATTCTCCACTTAGATGATATCAAATGCATATGGATAATGCAACAGATACTGTGCTCTAAAGTGGTGGTAAAATTAGTAACTAAAAAATAGATTTGATTTGTTAAATGTATGGATTCTTTCTGGTAAACACTAAATGTGCTCTTTGGCACTCGACAAAGGTGGTCGCATCTTCTCCTTCTCCCTCCCCTATCTTTCCAGGCGTGCTCCTCCTGTCTCGTCATATTTTTTATTCCTGAGGCTGTCCTTGCTCTGCTCTCCAAACAATAAGGAATTGTGGATATGATTAACTGGTCTCTGAATGCAGTTGACACCATCTTTACAATGAAGTTGAGAATTGTCATGCAAAAACATTTGTAGCTGGATACACCATGGATGGGTGGGAGAAGTGGCGTGTTGTGTGCCTGGCTGCTCTGTCCCTGAAGGACAGGGCTCGAAATTAACTTTCTGACTTGGTAGCACCGGTGCTCCCAATCGGAAATAATCAGGAGCACCAGAAAAAATTTAGGAGCACCAGAAAAAATTTAGGAGCACCCACCAAAAATATAGCAGGGCATTAAATTACTGTTTATTTCTTTGTATTTTAACTTTGTAAACTATAAACCTATGGGTCTCTTCACAGTTTGTCTCATTTTGTGAGTCGACTGACAACAGTTGTTCGCTCCCCTCCTTCTCCTCTGCTCTTCCCACTCCTGCCCTTAGCTCGTGGAGCTCCACGCCCATTAGGATGCATCTTTTGAAAAAAATCTAAGGTAAACCTGAACCGAAAGTGGGGAGTGTCATGACCCTTTAATGGTTTTGCACCATGAGCTTTAGACTTTGCGCCAAGATCGTTAAAAAAAAGTGTCCATTGTCTTTGCTCACCTGGCCCTTTTCTTGGACATGTTTCCAAAGCCTCAAACACACCTGGAAGAGAAACAAATGAAAAAATCACTTGTAAATTTTACGATTTTTGTCTATTTTGTTTTTGTAATGTCTTCTTACAAACTGTTAAAAAAAGAACCTAAAATAATAAACATATAAGTGTTAACTGTATAATTTTAATTATATAAACATCCTGAAATACTCTCACAAAATGAGCCATTTCACTAACTTCACAAGCTTATCCAAATTACACTTAAATTATATATATATATATATATTAGGGATGTAACGGTATCAGAATTTCACGGTACGGTAATACCTCGGTATGAATGTCACGGTACGGTATTTATTGAATCATTTACAGGAAAAACAAAACTTATGAAAATACTCCAAAAAAGTGCCAAAAGTGTCAATGACATACAATTTAGCCATCTATCTGTAAGCTTTGAAACAGGAACTTCAATTTTAATAACAAAAAAATATTAAACCATGTAAAAAAAATAAAGTTTCAATTTAGTATTGTTGAAAACTCGTCACATTCAACATTTAATCACTCACTCACTTAGATAGAGATGGGTTTAAAGGAAAATTATCATATAACTATAATCTGGTAAAAGCTGGTATCTCTGGGCATTTACAATGTCCCCTGCAACAGAAAAAAACCCTCTCATTTGGGACTGAGGTTTCTGGGACAAGAGAGATATGACTTGGCCCAGGTTGACAGCAGTGGGTAACGTTGTGCATTGTCTTTCCCCCACTTGAGAGGACAAACCATGAGTACAATAGAGGTCTCATGTCTG